TTTCGTGCTAACGCGTTAAGTTTGTGTGTTTTGATTTTTTGCTGCTGTTGACAGACCTTTGTGAATCATGATGCTTTACCGCCACCTGCTGGTGTGGCGGTATTGCTCAAACAACGTGCAGAACCAACAGACAAAATAATTCAAACAGTTTTGAATTCGTTTTGAAATATATTCTGAACAACGTCGTTAGGAAGAAATTCTTCATAAGCATAAGTACATTGTATTGGGGAACGGTTTGAATCCTGTAATTATTTACCTATGTATTATTTACGTTGTGATTACTTAGTTTTTTGTCCAGAAAACAATTTAATGATCTCTTAAAAACAATGCCATTAAAAAGTAATTTTGTGTGTAATGGTGATTGGTCAGTTTGTGAATAATAAAGAAAAGATATGATAAAATGGTGACTAAACATAATGGAAGCTTCCATTAATTGCTGAAATATACATTTAGAAAATGGTATTTAATACTATGTAATACAGTGGGGAACCAGGAGGGCTTTCTAGACCTTCAGAAAAGGCCTAATGATTATTAAATAATAGTGAACTAAAAAATACAATGTATTGTTGCAGTTATTATTTAGAATAATCATGTTTGTCATCATATCTAAATGTTTAAAACAAAAATATTTTCACTGCCATTATCTTAGTGCAAATACACTATATGGACAAAAGCATTGGGACATACCTCTTAATCACTGAATTCAGGTGTTTCATTCAGTTCCACAGCCACAGGTGTATAACATCAAGCACCTAGTCCTGCAGTCTGCCTTTACAAACATTTGTGAAAGAATGGAGAGCTAAAGAGCTCACTGAATTTGAGCATGGTACTGTAATAGATGCCACTGTTGCAATAAAGCAAATCGCATTTATTGTCACATTACACAGGTGTGAAGGTGAGTGAATAGCCCCCTTATAGTACTTAAATACAAAAAAATCTATAAATATATATACACATTACTCTTAATATCTGCACATATACACAATATACACGTTACAAGTCAGTTAGTGAAATTTCTTCCCTCCTAGATATTCCATGATCAACTATGAGTGGTATGACTGAAAAGTGGAAAAATTTAGGAACCACAGCATAAAAGTTGCCAATGCTCTGCTGACTCAGTTGTTTGTTAAAAATACCATAATTCTGCAGAGATCTAATAACATAGTATGCAGATTGGTTGAGCTTAAATGAAAAAAGTCCACAGTAGAACTTTTTTTTCCAACACCTGCCACACTGATCTCTAACAAAATAACTCCAAGCTCTTCAGCAATAAAATCCAGTCATTTGAGCGTCAAAGTGTAAGCACACTTTAATCTGTTTTGATACCCTCAAATGATTTTCACAAAAGACTATAAATGAAAATCACTCAGAAGAGACCAATGGATGTATAGGTAATACAGTTCTACAGTGCAATGTGTCCTTTCATGTTAGTACAATCTGTGTTAACTACAAAGTGTTAAGAGCTAAATGAAAATGGATTTATATGAACTAACAGATGATTTATGATTCATATTTTCCACATGCACAGGTTCAGACACTGAGCTTTTCAGCACAGAATTGGATAAAGCTTTGCTAATGGGTAAGTGCGTAAAGCCAATGTGTGCCTGTTAGTTTGTGTTGGATTGATAGCAATATTATGACTTTGACATCAATGCCAGCTTTGATGCCTCTGTATTTTTTCAACATTTAATCAACACCTCATGCAACAAATTCATCAGAATAAGAATTAGGTTTTATCGGCCTAGTGTGTTTGCACATACACAGGTAAATGGAGCTCTCTATGCTACTTTCACTTTTCCAGAATGGAAAGTAACTAGCCTAATGTTACAATTTTCCCATTCTGTGAGGAGAAATCTTACAGTTTAGAATATTTTGCATTTTCTGAAGTAAAGATGGGGAGAGTTTCACCTCTCTATGAAAGACTGCACAGGCAAATAGCGCAATGACTCAAGAACAGTGTTTCTCAGTGTAAAATAGCAAAGAACTTTTTATCATCTATGGTGCATAATGTCATTAAAAAACAGAGAATCTGGAAAAATTGGTGGATGTAAGTGAATAAGGCAAAAACCCAGTATTGGCTGGCTGTGATCTTTGGGCCCTCAGGCGGCACTGCATTGAAAAAAATAGACATGATTCTGCAGTGGAAATCACTGTTCACAAATCACAGTTCATCGGTGCATTTACAAATGTAAGTTAAAACTCTACCATGCAAAGAAGAAATCATATATAAACATGATCCAGAAACACCGCCACCTTCTCTGGGCTCGAGCTCATTTAAGATGGACTGAGGTGAAGTGGAAATGTTTCCAGTCGTCCGACATATCAAAATTTTAAATTCTTCTTGTAAAGTAAGCATAAAGAGGAGAGTGACCATCTAGCTTATTATCAGCACATAATTCAAAACCCAACATCCATGATGGTATAGGGGTGCATTACTACACATTGCATGGGTGACTTGCACATCTGTGAAGGCATCATTAATGCTGAACGATATATACATGTTTTGGCAACATATGCTGCCATCCAGGTGATGTCTTTTTCAGGAAAGGCCTTGCTTATTTCAGCAAGACAATGCAAAACCACATTCTGCACACATTACATCATGGCTCCATAGTTAAAGAGTCCAGGTGCTAAACTGGCCTGCTTGCCTATTGAAAATAGTTGCTGTATTATGAAATGTAAAATACGACAAAGGAGACCCTGAACCGTTGAGCAGATGAAATCCTAAATCAAGCAAGAATAGGAAAACATTTCACTTTTAAAACTACAGCAATTTGTCTCCTCACTTCTCAAAGGCTTATAGAGAGTGGTTAAAAGAAGAGGTGATTTAACACAGTGCTAAACATGCCCCCGTGCCAACTTTTTTTTCTAAATTCAAAATGGGCATAATCAAGAATATTTTTCAGTTTTGATACCATTGACAATCATAGTAATTTCAAAAGTCTGTTTTTGTATCCACGAATCAGAATTCACATTGAAAAATTAAATGTAGAGATGCACCTATATGGACCTTTTGGGGTGATGCAGATATTGATAAATGATACATTAACTCTTTTATTTTACAAAAATGGCACTGTTTGTGGATGCATTGCATTTTTTTTGGTTTCCTAAAGAAATACTTCAGAGCCTGTTTGTGGGGGAAATGATGTGCAGGGAACTTATGTGCAGACAAGCTGCCAAAGTATTCCCTTTCAGACGGTTTTTCAGTTCAGTTTTGCCCCTGAAAACAAATACTGGACATAAGCTGTGTTTAAATATGTTTAAATACTGCACACATTAGATGATTTTGTTACTGACGCTTTTGGCTCCTGTAAGTCGCACTACAACCTATCAGAGATTTTAATTTAGAATTGTGAAACCACAGAAGTTGCACTCTGGCAGAGGAAAACAGCATATTAAAGTCTTTCATGACTGACAGGAGAAACTAGGTCCGCCTACAGTGAACACAGTGTACAAAAAATGATCACTGGCAAAAGCAGTTAAAATTAAGCACATGTTGAAAACGAAAATGCAAGTTTTGATAACACAGGAGTGCTTTGAGAGCATTGGCAGTGATGTGCAGAGCAGAAAAGGCCTGGGTACCACTATAGATCTAAACATGCTTCATTTAGACCTGCTCTCAAAGAAAAGAAATATGAATTGATGCAGTTTCCTCACCACCCACTCATCCCCACACTGACCCACCGTCTGAAAACCACTGTATTAAACCTCACCATTCTGCTGAGGTAAATATTATCGAGCCCTGCATTAACAGTCATATTGTCAGTGTTTGGGAGAATAATGTAGGGGGCGGACTGTTAGGGGATTTAAGGATTGGAGGCATATGAACACGACTTGTTTTAAGCACAAGAATAGTCAAAATGTATGTGAATGTTTAGGCATCCCTGGTTGAATGCCACATTTTGTTGATTATTCTAAATGAAAGGTTAATACATGGTCTGCATGGAACTTAAATATAACACATTTCTACAAATTTAAATGCAAGATTACCATTTATTTGCTAAATAAGTTTAATTAAATGCAGCGTGTGAAAAAGGCACCCTCTCAATCAATCCATTGGTGATTGTTGCCAACAAGTTCCATTAGTGTTTCATTAGAATTGGAAATGATTAAAAAATGTCTCTGGTTCAACTCAGTGTTGTGTCCTATACTTCAGATATTGGCATTTGTGATGAGGTCACAGTTCAGGTCACCTTCTGATAATCTTTCCATATATATGATGTTTATGCAACAACACTGTGCAGTAGGCCAGTGCATTACTAATCAAGTGCCAGCCAAATCTTCCTGCAGCTCTTTGTCTGTTACGTGGGGGTATTGCTTTGTATACATAGCCAGCCTACAAGCAGTTTTTTCAGAGATATTTCTTGGTCTTCCAGATCTTCTCTTGACGTCAATATTTGCCCCTAAATTTCATTTCATAATGCCATTTCAGACAGTGAAAGCATTCAGATATATTTTATATTTTTCTCTGTTTTTTTGAAGATTGTATTATATAAGATTTCAGATCACCAGTCAGCTGTTTAGATGAGCCCATGGCTGTGAAGTGTAAACACCCTATGAGGTTTCAAGGATTTATTAAATGGTCAATACCTGACTTGAAATAAGCTCTGAAACCTTCTCAAAAAATTGCATATAACAAAATGGACTTTTCAGTTCCTTAATGACCCTGTAAAGCAGAGGATCCAGTGACATTCACTGGAAAAGTGTACTTAGAACAAAATGTATTAAGAACTACTTAAACAATTAACCACAGAATGTGTATTTAGAGTTTCTAATACACAGGCCAACTACAGAATACCTGCACGATTTAAGTGGTCGGCTACTTTTGTTGCATTGCACATGTGTTTATGCTTTCTTTTTTTTCTGTCTTACAGAAATGAATCACGTCCTGTTTGGAGTCTTCCTCTGCTCATAGGGTCCACTACACAGCTCACATATACCTCAAACACTTCAAGACCTTCCAGATACAGTGAAACAGGTTAATAAGCCACTGAAAAAAGGTTAAATATAAGACTATGGCGTCCAGAAGAAGTTGTACTCAGCAAATGCCAAGTACCCTTCATAAGAAGACATCTCACAGACAAACACAGAAACGTAGCGAGGAGAGGATGCACAACTGCTCAGAGCGTGAAGAGAGTTTGAATCATCATAGTCATCTCCAGTGGCACCAGCGCATTCACACAGGAGCGAAGCCATACCACTGCTCAGAGTGTGGAAAGAGTTTTAAGCGGCAGAGTCATCTCCAAGAACACCAGCGCATTCACACAGGCGAGAAGCCGTATCACTGCTCAGAGTGTGGGCTGACTTTTAATCGTCAGAGTTCTCTCCAACAACACCAGCGCATTCACACAGGAGAGAAGCCGTATCACTGCTCAGAGTGTGGGAAGAGTTTTAATCGACAGGGTCATCTCCAAGAACACCAGCGCATTCATACTGGAGAGAAACCGTTTCACTGCTTTCAGTGTGGAAAGAGTTTTACTCTACAGAATAATCTCAAAATGCACCAGCGAATTCACACAGGAGAGAAGCCGTATCACTGCTCAGAGTGTGGAAAGAGTTTTAATCAACACAGTCATCTGCAAGAACACAAACGCATTCACACGGGAGAGAAGCCGTATTATTGCTCAGAGTGTGGGAAGAGTTTTAATCAACATGGTACTCTCAAAAGACACCAGCGCATTCACACAGGAGTGAAGCCGTATCACTGCTCAGAGTGTGGAAAATATTTTAATCATCTGAATGATCTTAAAATACACCAGCGCATTCATACAGGAGAGAAGCCGTATCACTGCTTGGAGTGTGGAAAGAGTTTTAATGTACAGAGTAACCTCCAAAAACACCGGCGCATTCACACAAGAGAGATGCCGTATCACTGCTCAGAGTGTGGGAAGAGTATCAAGCAATCAAAGACTGTGACGACACACAAGTGCACTAAGGGCAGTGGTGGAAATAGGCCATGAAGAGTATACAGTCCAGATTAAAAAAAAAAATCACCTATTGTTTTTTGCTGTTTCTACGCATGAGCATAAAATGAAATATAATTTCCTGCGCTGAATACAAAATCAAGCCTACAGCCCTTACACCCAGTGAGATGTGGTATTTCATGTTCCCCTCAACCCTGTTCCCAAAATGAGTTTAATTTGTAATCGAGAAGCTCCACTTCACTGATAAAAGGTTGTTTACTTTCTAATGTAGTATATCTAAGGTAGTGAAGTGTCTCTGTTGCAATAATGGATGTTTTAGTAAGCATTTGACAGTGTGCTTGTGCTTCTTTGACTCCTCCGTGTTAACTAGTTGAAACAAAAGTGCAACTTTGTCTTCACTTTTAATCTTTAGATGTTTAATGTATGTTCTGATGAATTTTGATCTTGAATTTAATACATTTGTATATTTCAAGTTATTCTTTCTTTGTTTGTTGTTGAATTGATTGATTTGAAATCCCCTCCACACTCACAAATTCTCTATCTCATATGCAAATTCACATTTTAACAATCTTTATAATCGTAATTAACACTCATGTTTTAATCATATGCAAGTTACACCTATTCTATCCTTTTCTGATGGTGACCCAAAGAGGATAGGGTCCCCTGTCTGAGCTTAGGTCCTCTTGAGGTTTCTCCATTACACAATCGTGGGAGTCCTCACCACTGATGCCCCTAGCTAGCTCAGACTGGGACTCGGACATCAGATCTCATTACTGTATTGTCCCGGTGACCATCTATTAGGCCTTGGAGGTTGTTTTTGTATTTATTTAGGAGCTGCAATGTTCAGAGCGTTCCTGTTGACAACTGCTATGAAAGAGATTTGACCCTAAAGACTGCAGCAGTGAAGTTTTTGCTGTGCTGGGCACACCTGAACTACTTTGTAATAGAAACACAGGAGCAACTCTTACTGACGTTTTTAGGATGTGCAGGAGAGACACTGTAGTTGTTGACTGAATCTCACCAATGACTCTGTATTCTGTTAAGTTTCTGAACCAATCCAAGTCTGCATTATAATAGTTTTGATTTGCAATAATAAATTAGAAATTGTATTTGTAGATAGTCTAATCTACATAAAGCTATAACTGCTTTGACCCAATCTATATTTAGACAAGGAAGACAGCACCTGCAGGTTTCAGCCTTTAAAATCTCTCTTGCTGGACTCTTTGGGCAATTGCATTGTCATTAGCATAGCTGTGGCTTAGAGTTTAACCCGAGTTTGAACCTGAATATTTCAAATAGGTTCTTAAACTATTAAACTGTTGCCTCCTTTGTGTCCTCAGAATTGTAAATGATTGCGAAGGAGTCTTTATTCAGCTTTTGCTTGTTTTATTAAAGCAGTATCAGGCAGCACACCAACATGTATATCTACTGGTTTCAGTAAATGTTTTATTTCCTTCACTTTTTTTTCCTTCCTCCACCAAAAGGCCATGTTATTGGCACTAGGTCTACAGGTCAAGCCTGTTGACTAGCTTGCACAAATTTTCAGATGTGATTACAGTCTGACCTGGTAGAGGAGTTGTGGGTTTAGCCACACTCTGACTGACAGTCTCTAACATGATAACTCATCAGAGTGGGCGTCTGTCCCTCTGCTCTCAACGTGTGGTGCTGAGTTAGGCTGGGGAACTGACCCTGGTTGGGGGTGATGGTGGTACCACCATAGCTCTGTTCCTTATTTCATCCTGATGATGAAGGATCTTGGGGTGGTTCTTGCTTGACATGACCGCTGGCAAAGACAGCGACTTTTCATGGTCCAACTTGGACAACACAACATCTCCTGGTTACAGGTCAGGTAAGGGCTTGGCTCCATAGTGGTGGCTGAAGTAATGATCCTGTTTAGCTTTTTCTCCCCGTCAACAGTTCAGCAGGACTGAAGCCTGTGGTGGAGCAAGGAGTTGACTCATCAGTAGCTCCTCAGAGCCATCACATGATCTTCTTGCTTCAGAATTGTCTTTGCCATCTGCACTGCTCTCTCTGCATGCCCATTGCCCTGTGGGTTGTGAGGGCTGGACATGTAATGGCTGAAGTAATGCTGCGTCGTGAGCGCCTGGAACTTCACACCTGAAAACTGGGGCCCAGTATCACACACCACCTCATCTGGAATGCCAAATCTGACAAAGATTCTTTTTAGCTTTTAGATAACTTGTGCATTTGTTATTGAGAATAGGTGTAGCATTTGTGTAAACCTGGAGTAATAGTTTGAGATTACCAGGTAGTTGTAGTGTTTACACTAACAGAGGTCCATTGCAGTTCTCTTACAGGGTTGCACTGGAAGTGATTTAAAGATAAGAGGTTCCTTTTGTTGAGTTCTTTTCAGTTCACAGCGCACCTGGCATGACTTCACAAGCTTACTTATTTCCATACACAGTCTGGGCCATCACACAGTTGAACTCGACCTCTCCAAACATTCAACTAGGCCTTGGTACCATGAATATTCTGATAAATCTCACTTCTTGTCGAACATGGCACGACAATCCTTCCTCTGAGGAGAAGGCCATTGTATTCTGATAGCTCTGATTTCACTTGGGTGTACGCTCTCTCCCACTCATAAGCACATTGCTTAAGTGTTCAGGCCATCCAGTTTTCAGAGCTTCAGTGCAGATATGTCAAATACATTTAGATATAAGTGTACATTGTCCAGCCCATGGCGGTTAATGAGAGCTCATTGTGTGTTAGAGCTTAAACTACTCCAGTCCATTGAGTTATCTGTCAAACCTCTCGCCTGCACACACACTAGCCAGACTCCTTTTTTTTTTGGGTGTAGTGTGTTACTGCTTTGGTGAGATGTGTGGAGAAATATGCTACAGGTTTCAGCTGCTCTCCATGGATCTGAAAGAGTACATCTCCCAATCCATAACTAGTAGTGCCTACCAACACCACAGTGGGCTTGTTCACATCATATTAGGGGAGCACTGGTGCAGTCATCAACAGCTTTTCGATGTGTTCAAAGGATGATTATTGCATGTGACTCCATGTCCATGCATTCTTGTTTTTCAGGAGCTCATAGAGCAGCTGTGCTACTGTTGAGTGGTTGGGAATGTATTTTCCAAGATATTTCACCATTCCCAGTATCCTTTTCAGTTCTTACACATCTGCAGTTGGTGACAGCTGCCAAATAGCTTCCACTTTGTTGGGGTTGGGCTGGATCCTGGAACGGTCAGTGAGATGTCTGAGGAGCACTGCACTACCTTCTCCAGGTGAAGATCATGCTCTTCCTCTGTGGCCCTATGGGCAAGAATTTCATCCATGAAAATGTACAAACACACACATATTATACATATTATGTGCCATCATGAGTCGTTGTGACAGATTTTGTGTTTTATCCTGCCCCAGATGACCTGCCATAGGATTACTATAAGCCATATGAAAAAGCATTTCCCTATGGCTCTTTGGAACAACCAACTGAGTTATGATTTCTTCCGTTTGAATGCCATGTCACTCATTTCAATTTATCTTTATCCTCCATTTAATTCTTTACATTTTATGCCATTTGTCCTGCTTCACGTCTTCTTTTGCACTTCCATACACAGCTTAGATGTGCTTTCATAAACACATCAGAACATCCCACCAAGAGGAATTTTTAGCCACTGAAACATTATGGTACTCAGCAAACGCCATCTGGTTCCATCCACATAAACACATCTCACAGACAAACAGAAATGCAGCAAGGAGAGACATCACTACTGTTTGGAGTGTGGAAAGAGTTTTACTCAACAGAGTCATCTCAAAACACCAGCGCATTCACAGAGAAAAGCCATATCACAGCTCAGAGTGTGGGAAGAGTTTTAATCATCAGGCTCACCTCAGACACCAGCACTTTCACACAGAAGAGAAGTTGTGTCACTGCTCAGAGCGCAGGTTTCAGGCAATCAGATTATGATGACACACAGTGCACTAAGAACAGTGGTGGAAATGAGCTGTAATGTGTGTAACCATAATACATATTAATTTAGTATAATCAATGATGAAAAATTTTACAAACATTTGACGGTGTACTTGGCTCCTGGAGTCCCTCTTTTGCCCCTTTGATCCCTCTATGTTAACTAGTTAATGCTTGCTGCAATGAAAATGCCACTTTTCTTCCCTTTTATTCTTTAGGAGGTGCTTTTTATATGTTTAGAGTGTTCTTGTTGAGGACTGTAATGAAGGAGATAGGACTCTGAAGACTGCAGCAGTGAAGTTTTTGCTGTGCTTTGATGATGTGGCCCCCACTGTGCTCTCTCTCTCTCTCTCTCTCTCTCCCTCTCTTTTATTCCTAGTTTTAGCCTGTACTTCATGTACCCCCACAATGATGGGATATTCCAGCACAATAATGCACTGTGCCATTGGGCCCAAGTTGTCCGAAATTGGTTTGAGGAGAATTCTGGAGAGTTCAGATGAATTATGTGGCCTGCACATTTGTCTCAATCGAGCATTTATGGGATGTGGTGGAGAGGTCCATTCACACCAAAGATCTTGCACCTACAAACACCACAGTGCTGTGGGTGACTATCCACACGGCATGGCTCAACGTCCTTCCAGACGTCTTCTGTCCTCTTGTGGAATCGATGCCATGTCAAGCTGCTGCAGGTTGCCAGGCTAGAGGGGGTCCTATACAGTACTAGTTCCTGCCCCATGACTTTTGGCATGTCAGTATATGAAAGTTGCGTTTAGTTAGCAGATCCAGTAGATTCAGTTGTATATTTAATTATGTTCTATGTACACATAATCACATTCTTGATTTGTTAAATGTGTTTGTTAATTTGATCATACTGAAATATAATTTTAAATGCATTTAAGTGCATTTTAGTTGAAGTATAATTCAATACACAGCACGAAAGTGCATTAATGCATAGTGTATGTACACTGATCCTTGTTTCTACGCTCATTGTCCATTTTATCAGCTCCACTTACTATATAGGTGCACTTTGTAGTTCTACAGTTACAGACTGTAGTCCATCTGTTTCTCTGCATACTTTGTTAGCCCCCTTTTACCCTG